AGTAAAAAAGGTGCAGTTGTGTTCCCAGGATACTTCTATACTTTTATCAACAATAAGACAGACTGTGGAGTGTTTATTGCTGGTCATAAACTGTGTCACAGAGTAAACAAACACGTTGTGTTCTGTTCACTTTTATTGTCAGTGTCTGTCAGAGGCTCTGATAATGAGCCTTGTGTCTATTGTACCATAAAAGTTGAAGAGGTTTATCACAATCCAAATAAGTCTGAAAAAAAGTAATTCTGAAATCAGCACTAAGCACCAGATGGCAACATGTCAGATTGAAACTGGAAATTGTATTCCTAAAAATAAGATAATAATGTTCAAATTACACCTTAGTAAAATACAAACAGCACACTTCCGTTTGAGTTAAAGTGCTGAATGCAAGTATGAAATGTTGGTGGTGGAAAAATGTATTGCGACTGCTTCATTTCTTTTTATAGAATATGAATAAGCATACAAAACTATTATAGTTATAGTTTATAGTAATGGGGAAATCTATGTTTGGTTTCACCATACAGTTCTAAACATCCATAACCATTCATTCATAACCATAATGTGCATTATGTCACTATAATTTTAGAGAATGGATTTCATTTGTGAACAGTTTGCATTAACTAATAGTTCAGGCTTCAAAAATGTTTGTACTTAAGGAAACCTTTGGACTAAAAAGTGATTTACAAGCATATGTAAAAAAAAAAAAAAAATAAAAATAAAAATAATAATAATAAATATTTGGGACATTAATTGAGAGTACAATTACATGACATGTAACCAAGCCACATTTTGACAAGTTGCATTCCATCTTTAGCTGAACAAGAAGAGATTTAACAAATAAACATAAAAAACAAAAAAGTATTCAAATTCATTAATCTAAAGTTCATTGAAGGATCTTGTACCCAAAGCTAAGGGCGTGTGTGGCGTTTTCCCTGCCATTGTTGCTGCTTCCTGACAGTGTCCAACTCTTGCTGAGGTAATGCTTTTGAGTTCAGAGGTCAGGGGTCAAACGGGAAGTCGACCCCGGGGGAACTCCAGGCTGGGGCTTTGTTCTTCTTCTCTCACCTCCTTTCTATAGGTCTTTTCGCTTCCCCGCGTTAAAACACATAGAGCACATGCTGAAGAGGTGCATGGACGCAGATGGGATGGTGAGTCAGTGGGACAGGCACACTGGGTTTTCAGAAACAGGAAAATGTAACTTCCAGGTCCTCGCCTTTTGTCATGTGCGAAAGCAAAATGTCCCTATACTTTTTGTCCTGTACTTGTGATGTGCAGAGTGACAAGTTCAGTTTAGTTCAATGTGTGAAAGAGACTACAAATTTGGGTACTTATTAAAAATAAGTACCCAAATTTGTAGTCTCTTTGTAGTATTAAATATTATATATTCATTCAGACCAAACCAGACCATAAAACCACCTGCAATTTAATAAATCTAAGGTAATGTCATACTGTGGAATATTCCAAGTAGAGCAATGACATCTTCATAGAAACAATCAGGCAATGGACCTTGAATGAAAAAGTTACATAGTGGACTTTTAATAAAGCATGAAAAGAACATAAACAACAAATAAAGAACATAAACAACAAATAGTTTATTATGAATGATTCAGGCTTAGTAACTATTTAATTAATACTCAAACCCCACAATAGTTACTAAACCTGAATCATTCTTAACACACTATTGATGAACTATTATGACTTAAGTCTTGTTCATGCTTTATTAGGATTAATTAAAGATGTAGTAATTATAAAGTATGACCAGTTTGTTTACTGTTCAGCCTTAAAAGTACTGTATTACACTAAAGTGACTCTTGTGAGCTTTCAGTTCAGTTTCTTCATCAAAAACATGTTCATTCACGCATGTTACTGTAACCCTTTACTATTAGTCTGTCTACATCTCCAAAGCTCAAAATGTTCTGTTCCACCTTGCGATATCATGAAGCGGTATTTTTCAAGTTAAAAACTACCCTTTACCTTTTGTTTAATAAACATGGGCAATTCTTGAGCTGAAATTATCCAAATTATTCTTGTGAAAGTGTATGGACAACTCCAGGTTTGTTTTTAATGAGGAAACAGCTTTATGACATCAGAAAATACTGTAATATGGACTCTTTAACATTTTTCCACAGAGACGCGGGAGGTTAAAAGGGTCACTAAGCAAAGAGTCAGGCTACACTGGAAAGTGGCATAAAAAATGAATACTTTGCAACCATTAAAACACAGTCCCACAGGCCCTTCCATCCACCACCCTACCCCCATAACTGGCTTACTGCACATAACCATACCACTCACAGACAATCACATGCTAAAATACACGTGGCTGGTAGGTACAGATAAAAGAGGCTGAGTACAGATGAACCAAGTGAGGAAAAATGATTAGAGGCACCGTCTGTGCCAGGAGCAGACAGTACTATCCTGTGTGCACACCCAAAAATGCTTTATTGTAGTATCAGTAAAAGTGAAGTAGTGGCAACAACAGCATTAGTAGCAGTAGTAGTTGTAGTAATAGTATTAGAATTAGTGGTAGTAGTGGTTCGAGCATCAGCAGTAATGATTTCAATCCTTCACAGAAGAAACTGGTTCTATTCAGCTGGTAGACATACAGTAGCTTGATATGACATGATAAAAATATAAATTGGAAATGTTAAAAATGTATCTAAACCAGTCACATACTGATAGACAAATGCATATTCTGAAAATCATTACACTGTCAACACCAATTACTGATCCTGCTTCTAGTAAATATACCTCCAGTGTACACTCCCCCCATCTCCAGTGCAGTACATACCAGTAGTACAAATACTTTGTGCACGTACAGTACTTGGAAAGTGGACTGAATTACTGCCCGTGGTTGTCATCAGTGTTTGGTATAAGTGACATGTGCATACCAGATGCTCAGTACCCATGCCCATATCTCAAGTGTGTGCTCTAGTGAAGAACAGATGTGGAAAAAATAATTGAAATAGCAACACATCAAAAGAGAAACGCCCTATAAATAAACAGTTAAAGTTTAATCAAGTTTAATTAATGCTGGTAAGAGTGACAATAAAAAACTTCTGAGGGTGCAATAAAGACCAATAGTTGTTTTTAATACTTCAACTGTGCGGTGTACTTTCTTCCAGTGTTGGCAGGTATCAGCAAGTCTGATCAGGGTCGAGGAATGTAAACATTTTTGTCATGGTTGTGGTGTTTGATTTAATTAAGAACACCAAATTAAAAGCAATACTCTTTTTAAACAAAGTTATTTTACCAAGATCATTAAGTTGTCAAATTATCCATCAGACCAATTGAAAAAAATAATACTAGTGTAACAGAAGTGTAGTGGAAATGTAGACTATAGCATCCTGATCATTTTTGGTGTTTGAAATGTTTTGGAAACCAATGTAATGTGACTTAGAGCAGGGGGTCCTAAAGTGGGGGTCTCGAGATAATTTGAAGATAAAAATTTTACTGTTATTGCCTGTACTTTGTAAGTTAAATTGAAAACTGTATTTGGTAGTGAAATTATGTCAAATATCAAAAATAGACTATTACATTTTCTGTCTATAAACCCTCATGTACCTATTTCTTTTCACAGTGGTGTCCCAAGTTGGTTGCCTGTTTATTAGAAGATATTTGACTCATAAGTTTAAGGGAATTCCTAATTTAAAATTTAGAGGATGAAAATGGAATCTGTTTTGAGTTAGATTATGGGTTAGATTTTAGCCTGTATTTTGACTGGCCTCACAGCAAATGGGGCCGAATATTATTTTGAAGATGTATTAGATACAAGCCAGCTGCCCAAACTAATTTTATCCAGGCTGGTGAGTGGCCGAAACTAGAATGTAGCAGTTTATACGCCCCCCTCGGCGTCTATTTTATTTCTATTTATAAATACGATTATAACGTATTAATTTGTGAAATTTGAGCCAAATCCTCCCAATCTCTGCTTAATAAAATTACATTAAAAGTACTATTAAGACATATGAGTTACATTTTGTGCTGCTTTTTTTGCTGCTTGACCTTCCACAGGTCTTGGCCCAGCGCAGTGAAAGTTTACGCGTGGAGGTGGTCAGGGACCCTCTTGAAGTTGTTTATTTAGACTCAAACCACAAAACCCTTGAACCCTTCCCGTAATATCTGTAATAACACGCACAGAGGACACTTAAAGAGCAGTGAACGCCGCACATGGGACCCTCTGGAGGGGTTGGGATGTCCGGTTCTCTGACCACTCCCCCCCGCTCTCCCCAAATGGAACATCCTGGAGCGGTTTGGCACAGACGAGGGAGGCGCGTTCAGCTGACAACCTCGCAGGGGGTAACTTCACTTCTCTTCCCCCGGACTTAAGCCGACTTTTATGGGTAAGGCTCAGCTTCGCACGCCGCTGCAAATTTCCTTCCTTGTCACTTAATTCCTTCTTGTCCAGAAACAAGTAAAATGCACTGCTTCTCTGGAAGTTTTACAAGTTTACTTTGAGCCAACACGGCTTGGAGTAGGTAGCAGCGCGGCTTCTGTTTTTTGGGAATGCGTCCTCCTCGATCTGCCAGGAAAGGTAAGTATTTTTTTTTCCAACGTGAGGAATGAATTAAATGTTGCGCTAACTTTCCAAATAACACTAGGACTTGAGGAAAATGCTACTTTTAAACTGTATTTAGTGCAAAAAGACACTTAGAATTGTCACTTTTATTGCATGTTCTAAGCATATCATTACAAAACAATTTACCCATTATATGAAATTGCATATAACCTTTATGCAACCTTTTATGCAAGATACTATTTTTTCCTGTTAAATGAATGCCCATGCAGTGCCTAATCACTAAATTGCAGTTTTTATATGAATTGCAGAGCAGAGAGGGACAGCTCACCTCCGGAGACATGTACTGGACATTTATGGACTGGAAAATACTGATGTCCATTGTTCTTCTATGGGACCAGCTTCAGGGTTTGGAGCTACGTCCTACAAGATGGCCTCTGTATTCCCAAAAGCCCCTGGTCCTGGCCTGGAACGCCCCAACTGAGGACTGTGTCCCCCGGCATGGAGTGCGACTTGAGTTGGACTTGTTCCAAATTGTTGCCACACCCAATGAAGCTTTTTTCAGACAAAACCTTACCATCTTTTATAAGGATAGGCTTGGTTTATACCCTTATTTTGAAGAGGACAAAACCCCAGTGAATGGAGGGTTGCCTCAGGTGGCTAATCTCACTCAACACCTTCATAAGATGCCAGAGGTGGTGGGAAAATACATTCGGGAGGCAAACGCTAAAGGACTGGCTGTTATTGACTGGGAAGAATGGCGTCCGCTTTGGATCAGAAACTGGGATGCTAAAGACATTTACCGCAAACAGTCAAAGGAGTTAGTAAGACAGAGAAACCCAACATTGCCAGATGAGCAGGTGTTCAAAGTTGCACAGCAAGAATTTGAGTCATCAGCAAGGAAATTCATGTTAGAGACGTTAAAAGCAGCCAAAAAAATGAGACCAAATCAACTATGGGGTTTTTATCTATTCCCAGACTGCTACAATCATGATTATAGGAGGACTTTGGAGAATTACACTGGTCGCTGTCCGGATGTAGAAGTGGCCAGGAATGAGCAGTTGAAGTGGTTATGGGAGGAGAGTACTGCCCTTTTTCCTTCTATCTACATGGGCAAGGTTCTGAAGTCTTCACGCTCCGGGCAGCAGTTTGTGAGGAACAGAGTGAAGGAGGGCATGCGCTTGGCTTCGTCCGGAGAGGGGCTAGCCAGACCTGTGTTTGTGTACACCAGGCCCACCTACGCTAACTCACCGGACCCACTGACAGAGGTGATGCTCACTAGATGAAGCAGATGTGCATTTTTATATATGATTTCTTAAAGGTGCACTATGTAACTTTACTGCTAGGGGGTCTGCCACCTGCTTATCTTCATGGAAATGTTAATGCTCTTCCTGAAAACCGTAACATGGCCTTAAACTTGTCTATCTCAGTGGGGATGTGCAAGTGACACACTGGGCCAACCATGTTCACAGCAAAATTGTGAGGTGTTTTTGAGGAATAAAACTGAAAAAACAAAAAGCTGTATAGATATGTTAAATGCCATATTGTGGGCTATTCCTAGTAAAGCAATAGCATCTCTATGGAAACTAGCACATGCCAGAGACCCAGACAGAAAAGTTACACAGTGAACCTTTTAAATGGCATTGTTTTCATCACTGAAGTAACATGAGGTGGAGAAGTAGTTGTGGCAGCAATATATGAAAAAAGAAATGCACAATCTATTTCGTGAGGATTTCAATGTTGTCACACTACTTGTGGGCTACCTAAAGAGGTTGTTGATGCTGTTGTCGTCTTCTGAGAGTTCACACCCCACTTTGGTTCATCAAATCCACCTGTTCATCAGACCAACAGAGGCCTGGTTGAGAGAAAGTAAAAGTTTAGATACAGATGAAATCCACAATTCAGTTTTATTTTATTCGTCGTTATATCTCTCAGGCCTAGACCCAATCTTAAATTGAATGAGTTCTAGATTAACAAGTGATAAATTCTAGTTAGTTAGTTAATGAAAAACTCGATTGGTAGTGCCTTTGAGATGATGATGGGATAGTGATAAGTCAGTCAGTGTAGAACAGAGGAACTGCTTTACAAGAAGTAGTTCCTCTGTTTTACTAGAAAGTAAATCAGGAACAGCAGGGGTATCAAATATAAAAGCTGCTGCGTCTTTCAATGCTGCTTTAGTTCATACCTCACAAACAATGTATTTTCAATTTTATATTTACTCACATAACCGATTCAGTGTGGATATGCCACTTTTTCGAATATTTCTTTTGCATTATATTGTACTGTAACCTTTCACCAGGCCCTCAAATGCCATTTCCCTGAACTGAGGGGACACAAACTTAATGGCACTTTTTGACAGTTAACAAAACACCCACAATCTTTACACATTGTTTTGCTAACTCCATTCAATCAGCAGTAGCACTTTCTGCATGAAGTGATGTTTTTGGCTCCTTCCTTATCGGCAGCTGCAGTACTTCCTGTCCAAAAACCTCGCGCTCCCTTTAATATCAGTGATTTGTGTGTGAAATCGGCAGCAGGATGGGAGTGGGCCCGGATTAAAATGTCACCAACACCCGGTCCACTGTTCTCCTATGGGACAATAAACAGATAAGAATTACTCAGCGTTACATAGCACAGTGGCACACCTTTGTAAACTCAGAGAGGGGGGAGTTACTCAGTGCAGTGTTGCTCAACTGTTTCAACTCTCTTTGAAGAACTATAATTTCATGATTTATTAGTACATTTCATATTCTCTTTAAAGCAGTAGTAATCATAATTTCCAGCTTTGTCATACCAGAACAAACAGAAGATGGTACAGAATCTGTACAGTTTGAGTCCAAGACAGACTCATACAAATGAAAGACTGACACTCCAAATAGAGTGGGAAGAAGACTTATTTTAACCCGTTCCGATGTCAGTAAAGACAGTTAAAGAAAATACAGAAAAGCTGCTTCTTTGTTCACAGCCAATATGTACTGTCTACAATGTATACAATATGATCACTTAGTAATGCTGGTATTGAGGACTTTAGATCAAAATTATATCCTGGGTGTGGTGTGAGTTCTTTAGTTTCAACATTTGTCACTAAAAATAATGAGGATTTTAATGTCCTGTGTAGGACTGGGTATTGTTTAAATCTGTACCAAGGAAAATGTTCAGGTACTGAAAAACTACTGGTTCAGAGCACGAAGTTTCTAGGCAGTGTGATCACAAATGAATGACGAAAACTGTTTTGCTGTTGAATGGATTTTATGAATGCTAGAATTCATTTTGTCTTTCTAGATAATGCTTAATACATGGAAAGGTACCATAAAAGTGCACTTAAGGAAACTGTATCTTTCAAGTACTGCTACCCCCCCCCTAAAAAAATGGTACAATTTGGTCTTATGTGATTTGGTAAGAAATTGTAGTAGTTCTAGTGATTGCACTTGTGGCAGGAGGAACAGCAGAGTGTAGTAGAACTGTATACTGAAAAAGGCATCAAAATTTAGTAGTCTACCACTGTGGAAGTAATTACAGTAATTTAAATGCTAGTAATAGTAGTTAAAGTAGTACTAATTGCTGTAGTGGCGACATGTTTACTTGTATACAATGTGGGGTGCCTCTTTCAACTCTGGCTGTGCTCGTAATGTTATTACCATATCCACTGTATGACCTGATTAAATTTGCTTTGCTGTTTTTTCCAGACTGACCTGGTGTCCACCATCGGGGAGAGTGTGGCTTTAGGAGCGGCTGGTATTATCCTGTGGGGGGATGTGGCCTACGCAAGCAGCAAAGTAAGCCCTGACACAAACCATAAATTAGCTACTACATGAAAGAGCTCAAATCTGTAACGACATGTTGTCAATTTTATTATTTTATTTGGCCTGCTGTCTCTTCAGTCATGTGCAGTCATTTGAGAGCTGTCAGGGTCTCCAGTCACAAGCCTACTACAACGTTATGCATTTGTCAGAAGTTTCAGCTGTTTGTTGAACTATATAAAGAGAAGAATGTCCAGTGATGGATATTGGACATAAATCAACACGTGGACTCTTGTTGTTACTGGCCTGCAAGAAAAGACATACGATTTATTTTCCCTCTGATTTTTGATTTTCTGAACTGTTGTAATAACATTTTATATACTTGCTTACTTTTCCTTCTGGGGTTACCACATCAAATCATCAGTCTCCCAGTGAGTAGTTATCAACATATTCATTTTGTAGTGATCCTCCTGACCTAGCCTTCTCATGCCTTAATTTCCAATGGCTTTAACTTAATTAAAAGCTACCCTTCCTCCCCACAAAACATGCATTTTTACTGCAGGGCACAGATCTGACCTGTGACTTTGTCTAGTGGCATCACCTGCTTGTCTCCATGGAGATGGTTAATGCAATATTGTGGAACATTCTTGGCAAAGCAATCACAAACAGGAGAAACTATATAGCAAAAGTTACACTATGTAGCTTTTAACGAGTGTATTTTAGGTTAAAAAAAACAAGACAACTCTCTTTTCCATTGCCTGTTCTCTCCTGTTTTCAAACCATGACAGAGGGAGGTTGTTCAGTTTGGCCCTAACTTGTTTCTAGCTCTCATAACATTTCAGGACAATTCAATTTCTTTCTATCAGATTACGACAGCTATTGTAGATGCACTGACATGTTTTTTTCATGGCTGATGCAATACTAATTATTTCAAATCTAGAGAAATCAATGGCTGATAAGCTCTGCTGATACTTGAAATGGCAACAAACTCATCCACAACCTTATTTCACTGCAAAGCCATTGTAGAGCAGTGTAGTCATAGCTTGAGCAGTCTCCTCTTTACATTTGAGTGTTCAAATTAAGCCTTTAGCCATGTCAGGTGGTCAACGAAAACAACATATCAGCCTGTGTTGGAGAGTCAGAGCCGAAAGCTGATATGCTAAAATGTGCAAATATCTCCCCAATCTATCATCTCTAATTACAATGTACAATAAGGGAGTAGAAATAATAATAAGGGAATGTATACCTTTAGATTTTGGAGGGTATTTTAGAGGGTGAGAAACTACAGGGCTACAAGTTGAATGTATGTATAAGCTCTGGTCTTTGGTTTGATGTAGGATTTTATTTAAGGGTTTGCATTGGCCCCATGACAGAGAAGTATTTGCACAGTGTTTCTTTGTGCTTTACTCCCTTTTAAACTATGCTGCCAGTTTGTGTACGCAGCCGCTTGGACCCCTTAACCTGCAGACTTGACTGATGGCGTTTCATTATTTTTTCTTTCCAGACAAGCTGTTCCGAGCTTAAGGCCTATCTCCAGGATCCACTGAGCAAATACTTACTGAATGTTACTACGACGGCCGAGCTCTGCAGCCAGACCCTCTGTGGCTCTCACGGCCGATGCCTGAGACGAAACCCGGACAGCGATGTTTACCTGCACCTCAGCCCCCTCACTCATGCCATCACGAAACAAAATGGCCGATGGGTAGTGACCGGAGAGCTGGATGAAGCGGAGAAGATGAGATTTGAGATGGATTTTCTGTGCCAGTGTTACAGCGGGTATCAGGGAGAAACTTGCAAGCAGACGGACCCAATGCACCAAAAAGGAAATGCAATCAGGGCTAAAGCTTCAATTTTACAATGTGCTTTGTTGTTAGTATTTTTTCTAATTCTCTCCTAATGCTTTTCTTTTTTGGGAGTTGTTATCATTGCAAATCATGTGCTCCTGAGTGCAAAGAGCATAATTTATATACAGTACAAAAAGGGATATCTAGACTCATTGATTAAATTACTTGAACTCAAATCAATCTGGATTTTAGAACTTATGACTAAGTACATTACACTCCACGTTACACTTGTTTTGTGGTTTTCTAGTTTTGAGATTTAAGGAAAAAATGCTATAGGTAAGACTTTTCTACCCTGTTAGCAAATAATGTGCCTTGAAAAAATAAGCCATGTTTTTCTCAAGGTACATCAAATAGTTCATCTATTTTCAAGATTACAATTTAGAATTTGAGTAACTTTAACCAGTGTTAAATTCATGCAGTTAAGGCTGTGACTGTTGAAAAGCATTGCTTCAAAAATGCCAGACTTCTTTCCTGCCAAAATCATTCTTTCAGGAAACTATTTAGTCATTTGCAAATTGAGCTGGCATGATTGTTTTATGCCAGATGCCTTACCTTTTATATAATTTAAATGAGCTTGGAAATGATTGTGATTTTCTGTGATTTTCTTTAGCGTTTCCTTTCTGGGGTTGTTGGCAAACCATCTTATGTGCAGGGACTAAACTGACACCAGGTTTTATGCCAGATGCCCTCCCTAATTTGCTATTAAACAATAAGAAGTACCCAGATTTGTGGATAGGTGCATCTGTCAGTCTTTTTTTCTTAGCTTTCCTGTCAAGTTACCACAACAAACCATTGGCCACCATTTGTGCATTGATTTGCATAATGTGTTTAGGATTTTTTTTTTTTTTTAACTCCAGATGACCTTCCAGCATCCATCTATTTAGTTTTGAGGCTGCCACAAAGAGTACACTGGTTTTAGAGGCCCTCATCTCTTATTATATTCTACCTTTTCACCATTGCTGTATAAAGTAGGATTTTATTAGATGAATTTTAAGGAGTTGTGGAGGCCTTTGTAAATTTTCTTTGTACAAATCCTTTGTAAACTTTGAGGGGCCTTGCTGGAAATTACTGTTTACATTGACTTCCTGTCAGTCACTGTTTCCAAAAGTGTCAAATTCCACTTTTATTATATATAGAACGATTTCAAATAGGATGTGATGTACTCGTGTGAGTCTGTGTGCTAAATGTAAAAAAAAAAAGTGCACTTAAATCAAAACACATTCTAGTTAAAGTGCCTCATAGGATATAATGAACAAAGACATGAGCAGTATTATTTATTTTGAATGTAATTTTAGATTTTCTTAATATTTTCAAATCATGACTACTATTTGCTCTATTTGAAAGTGATTTTTACTGATTTTTGGACTTGCACCAAAGAAATAAACATATCTTTACAGGTTTTGTTTTGCCTTTGAAATGTCATGTGAATCTGTGTGAATTGTGAGGGGGATGTGGCTGGAAAGTGAATGCAATACGACCAGAACTGTAGGTTTCTATTACATTATATGACTGTTATTTGAATGTTGCTATGGTGATGGTCACATAAGAGATTGAAAAAGCCTTCTCATTATAGACTGGGATTTAAGTACTTGACTGACAAACCTTCACTTCAATTTACTGTCACATTAATTCTTTTTGTGAAATTTTATGTTCACAAATGTGTGAAAACTAGCAGCAGTAGCCCTTGTAGGCCCATGTACTTTACTACAGTGGTTATCGATTTTTTCGGTTCGGTTTTCGGTTATTTCCACTAACAGAGAAGCTATAGACACTGTCAAAAAAGATAAGAAGAACTGTTCCATGTTTAATAAAGATGTAATTGCACTGTTGCCGTAGTATAATAACCTATGAAAGCAGTTAACATGCTAACAGTTTGTAAATCTGGACCTCTTTTATCTCTGGGGACCACCTGAGAATCTTTGGGGACCCTAATTTATATTGAGAGCATTAGATTGGGCATGGCTGATCTACTGTATACTGTTGGGCAACAAAATGTTCAACTGTGAAAAGATCTTACCTGGCAGTAGCTAAAATTATATAGGCTAGAACATTGTTACAAGATTCTAGGATAATTATGCTATTTTTTTTTTTATTTAAGCTATTGATTTATGTAATTATTTGTTTGTAGTAGTTACCACTGAGTGTCGCTGTTCTACTAATTATTTTATGTTACAGCAACTACTTCTAAAAGTCAGCTACTCAACAGTTTTAAGTGCGACTGGATAGGTAAGGCGCAGTAGGTTTTGCGAGAACAGGCCTACAATTCACTACAGCCAGGGGATATTTCAGTCCCATACCGTGCCTTAGCGGAGGTCAAATTACAACAAACAGTGTTCTGTAGGCTGTACGCATATTTTAGCTTTATAGGGGCGAGTCAAATACCGTCATTGTGCACATTTTGGAGGCGCTATATCCACGCGTCCTCGGGGGAGAGATAGATAGCCTATGTTTTCGGCAGGCTGCAGTCGGCGCTCTGCCCCCTCCTCATGTAATTGTAGGGTGCCTTTAAACCAAGAGTTATTTTTACAACTTTAACTACTATTGAATGAAGGACAGATTTCATTGTGGCATGGCAGAAAGTCATTATACGGAGAGAGGCTATAGAGATTACAAAAAACATAGTCTAAATGCATAGGCCCGTCTCGCACTGGTGCCCATATACCTTGTATGCATTTGGACACATTTAAGTTTTTACACTGCTGTAACTTTAAACGAGGGTTCTTACGGGATATTCCTAAGTCTCTTCTGATTGGCTGGTTAAATCATTTTCCTAGCTCCTCCTTTCTGATTGGCTGTGGGGCTTTCCGTACACAAACTGTGCTTCTTCCCCATTTTCATTCAGATCATGAGACTGCGCGCAATAAAGACCACAAACTATAGACCGCAGCCCTCTGATAGTAATTAACCAGGTAAGTACTGCAGTATATGAATAATTCACTTGTTATACATGACAAAGAGTGGGTAAGTTACTGTAAGATTCCATATTGTATATTGTCTATATGTTTATGCAAATACAGTGTGATTCAAGTTTATTAGACAAACTATGTGAATGTAATCAAAGCCTAAAACTATTCAGATTTAAATTTCACGTCACAGTTATCCTGACATGTTATTTATGTTTTGTTACATATGTATAACGTAATAATGGAATAGGCCTATTGAGTGAAAAAGCAGAAGGTTATTCAGGTTCCTCTTTTTGGTTTCAACTTGCTTAACTACATTTTTGTACGTTCTGTGCTACTCTCACTGCACTTTTTAGGATAGTACTGTATAATTTATCATGTTGCGTTGATATTATAGCCAGTATCCAGTTTGTTGACATAAGTATTTAAAATCCCATTAAAAGGCATGTCAACTGTTGTTAACCTCGCAAATTATTGTGAAACAGCCTAATTACAACATGTGATTATCTGGAATCTATGAAATATTTTGTGTGTTTTTTAAATAGTTGTGTAAACACAGCCACTGAGTATATGGGTCTTCTATTTCCATATGAACTAGTCTGTTTAACAATATGATGCATTGAGGACCAGTGAGAATAACATGATCACACAGAGACTGGAGCTCTAAATATCAGCCAATTCTACTGATTCTCTAAGCATCTGCCAGTGTCCATATTGGCACCAAACCCATCCCTCCTTCCCTATACTTATTTTTTCATTTCATCTATTGGAGATAATGATCCATTCCACTGTGTTTTTGTTAGTGGATTGGACAATGGACAGGGCAAACATACTATTGCATGCTGAATTTGATGTGACCTGTTATCATTGTTGTGCAACATCAGGTAGAAGACCATTTGAATGGGTTAAGGTCCACTATTTTTTCTTTTAAACTGTCAATTGTCAGCTTGGGGTTTTCTATCAAGAGGACTACAACCTATCCTCTGTCAGTAAAAGTATCTGTGGTTAACAAGCTTTAAAAAGTAGTTTAAAAGAAAATTTCAGATTTTTATTATATGATAAAAGACTTAAGTCCAATAGGATATAAAATGTACCATTTCTTATTGTTTTACAGGCATGAGTTGCACGTGGCCTATTATTTTGCTGGTCCTGCATTTGACGCAGTTTTGTTCAGCGCTGGAGTCAGTCTCCTCCAGTTTCACCCAGGTGCCCTTCCTCACAGTGTGGAATGCTCCCACTGCCCGCTGCCTGTCCCAGTATGACATTGACCTCGACCTGGGCATGTTCAACATCGTCCAGAACCAAGACCAGAGCTTCATGGGGGACAATATCACCATTTTTTACTCTGACAAACTTGGCCTGTATCCCAGGTAAAGAGCTATAATTGATTAATCAATAGTTATGACTACAAATATTTGTGAAATGCTATCTCTTCTTAAGGAAAAAAAACAACATAAATCAGGAAATAAATTAATTAAATATTTTAAGGGTCAGCAGTTGTCTCAGTGGTGATATTATTACTTTGCCTGGAAAGATCAACGCTATGGAATTAAATTTATCTATCTCCATTGAGAAAAGAAGATGAGCCTGTCAGTTCAAATGACAGATTTGATTTGTGAAAATATTACATAGTTAAGCTCCTCTAAAACACCTAAATTAGTCTTGGCAAAGCAAATTCCATGGAGACAAGTAGGTCGTGAGAAACAAACTCCACAATAGAAAAGTTACTTAGTGCACTTTAAATTTCACAGTAGTCATTTAGCCAGTCTCAATGCTTATTTCGTGGTACCAATAACATTAACATTCTCAATCCCAGGTATGCCAACCAGGGGATGCCGATCAACGGAGGTGTACCACAAAACTCAAGCCTGGAAAAACATCTTAGAGCTGCTTCTGATGACATAAGACTTTATATTCCCACCCAAGACTTTGAAGGCCTGGCTGTGGTGGACTGGGAAAGCTGGCGCCCCCTTTGGGAGAGGAACTGGGATTCCAAGGAGATCTACAGGGAAGGATCTAAGACTCTGGTTTGGTCCAAGCATCCAGATTGGAGCCCTCAACAAGTTGAAACTGCAGCCAGGATAGAATTTGAGAAAGCAGGTCGTCAGTTCATGGAAGAAACACTAAAATTAGGCAGAGAAGAGAAACCAAATGGTCTATGGGGGTTTTATGGATTTCCAAATTGTTATAACTACTTCAAAAGCACCAGCTATACAGGGGAGTGTCCACCAGCAGAGAGGAAGAGAAATGATGAGTTGTTTTGGTTGTGGAACGTGTCCTCTGCCTTGTATCCGGACATTTATCTTAGTTTGCAGCTCAGAGATTTGGGTAAAGATGTGCAGTTGTACACTCACCATCGCATCCTGGAAGCTATGAGGGCAGCGTCCCAGGTCACCCCCCAAAACCCTCCTGTTTTCCCCTACGCACGCATTGTCTACACCTACTCACTCAACTTTCTCTCACAGGTAAGCTGCTATATTTATTTACATTGTGAAGAGATTATCAATATATGTGCATTAAAAATATTTTGACCAAAATCGTGCATGGATTCTTTTTCTAAAATGTTTGGCAGCTAAAGGTACACTCAGTAACATTTTAATGGAGGACCTGCCACCTTCTCCCTGGAGATGTTTTTTTTTTTGCTATGACATAAAAATCATTCTTTTTAAAAGATTTTTTATTGTGAGCAGGGTTGCTTCTCCACAGATCTGATTTATAACTTGACTTTGTGGCCTCACATTCTTTTCTCTGTTTAATGCTATGCTGAGGAACATTCCAGGCAAAGCAATAACATCTTCATGGAGACAAGCAGGTGGCGAATCTTCCATCAGAAAGGTTACATAGTGCACCTTTACACAAGCATAAACAAAGTCTAGTCCAGGGATCTCCAACCTTTTGCATCCAGTGAGCTACCTTTACAAAATGAAAATGCCGGAGAGCCACTCATTTTATCGGTTGCAAGAATTTTAGTTGATATAAGAGGGCAAGCCTTAGTGTTCTACAGTTAGGTGCCTATAAAACCTAAAACCATTATCTATTTATTAGAGCATAAAGTTCAAAATAACACATTTACAATGATAATCAATCAAATCTGAGTTATTCAGTACAATACATAGACTGCAGAAATTCCTTGGAGAGCTACTTGGAAGGGGGTGGAGAGCTACTGGTAGCTCGCGAGCTACAGGTTGGAGACCCCTGGTCTAGTCTATTACTACTTCAAGGCTTTGTCATTACTTTGATTGCACAGGAATTCTCTGTGTAGTTTATAAAGCCATTTTCAGGAGAATTGAGAATTATATGTAATATGTTTTCTTTTTCATAGGATCATCTAGTCTACACCATTGGAGAAAGTGCAGCTTTAGGATCGGCTGGTGTTGTTCTATGGGGAGATAAAATGTTCACTAATTCTCAGGTAAAAACTACTCAATGATATTTTGGCTATTTGCTGATTGCCTGATCTCTTTATATAAATTAAAACAAAATACGATATCTTTTGAACTGGAAAGAGTCCCCAAAATGCTGCATATAACAGAAAGTTGAAATTCATGTTTAGTAGTAACTTAATAAAATGATATTCAAACTAATTTGCGTAACAGTGGTGATAAATAATGACCGAACTACTGAACATTTTCCATTGTGAATAGGAAATGTCTCTTCTGAACTTTGAGTTGAACTTTGAGTTGAACTGACTTGAATGCACTGTTAGCAGTTTTAAAACCAAAAACACTATCATCAGCAACTTCATAGAACAGCCATATCCATGTTTCTTTGGTAACTGACTAAAAGTGCATTTTCAAATTACTGACTTTATTGAGAATTTATATACTTTTTTGTGCTTTCTAAATTTGTGATTGCTTATCAACTGAACTGAAAAGGAAGTACTGATAATGTGATCTTACATTTTCTTTATGTATAGCAAACCAGCAGTGTTGGGAAGGTTACTTTTAAAATGTAATCCCCTACAGATTACAGATTACACACCCCAAAATGTAGTTTGTAACGTAATCCATTAAATTACTTAAAGTGAGTAACGTAATCTGATTACTTTGGATTACTTGTTATTGTCATGTTTTTTTAAACGACATTGAATGTAGCAACCACATCCTGAAAATTCTTGTTTGTTGTTTTCAAATTGTCTGAGCCCAAGTCTCCATGAATAAGCAACTGTTTGCTGTAGAGAAACAAAGACCACGATATCTTAATATAAGAGGTTTTGTCTGTTAAAAGACAGTAACAAGATAAGCTTTTCCTTCACCAGATTAAAAAAATATTATTGATAGAGAAATTATTTTTTATATGAGATCACCTTAAATTATGTCAACCTACTGTTAGGTGTCATGTTGTTTAGACCTGGTTTAGTCCTGGTTTAGTCCTGGTTTAGTCCTGATTTTTAGACCTGGTTTAGACCTGGTCTAGACCAGGTCTTTAGTTCTGGTTTAGTCGTGGTTTAGTCGTAGTTTAAACCTGGTTCAGTCCTGGTTTAGTTCTGGTTTAGTCCTGGGTTAGTCCTGGTTTAGTCCTGGTGTTAGTTCTGGTTTAGAGGCGCACAGGAGGAAGCGCGGTTTACGCGAGAAAACACGGTCCACACGCGGCGCACGAGACTGCGGTGTCCGCGCTGTAACTACGGAAGGAGACGTGGTCCGCGGGTTCTCAGGTTGATGACGATGATGAAGGTGTGTGTTGGTGTGTGTTTGTGTTTGTGTGTGTTTGTGTGCACGTCCCCTCATGTGGCAGGTCATTATAGGACAGTAGTGCAGATATTATGAGTCTATGCAGGTTGTTTTCACCAGTGCCAGTAGCTCCTGTTTCACATTTAAGTTGTAGGTGATTTTATATTTGTTGTTTTTATATAAATATCTCACATCGGGAGAAGAATTTCCAAGACACAAATGTGTTTTTACCAATGCACTGCTGCTTCCACTGTGTGACTGACACCGTTAACTTTAACATGACGTTTACATCGCTCTTACTGTCGCGTTCTGTTTGGGTTTCCAGCAATGAGTGAAATTACCGAAATAAAAAAATAAATAAATGGGATGTAGCACAAAATGTGAAAACAGGAAAATACCGCCTTGTAATCCACTTATTTCAGCAAAGTAACTGTAATCCAATTACCACTCATTGAAACAGTAACTGTAACGGAATACAGTTACTCATAATTTGTACTCTGATTACGTAACGGCGGTACATATAATCCGTTACTCCCCAACACTGCAAACCAGTAAGACCAAAGGACATCAGTGGCTATGTTTACACGCAGAGCACAATCAGATTATTATTGGATTTCTGGGCCTCTGGGATTATTTAAATAACATGCAAACTGCAAAATAATGTGTGTGCATGTAACCACAGCTACTGATCACATTTTAGCTGCAGTTTAAAGGTCCTATATTATGCATAATTGACTTGACTTGGTCTTTAAGACATGTTATAATGTCATTACCTCTTTAAAAATATACCTTTTGATTCATTCACACATGCCTGGGTTACCCTTTATTACTGTGATATATGTCATGTAGTGGTAATTCTAGGGCCCAAATTATCCAAATGATTCTAGTGAAGGTGTATTGAAAAAAAAAACAAAAAAAAAACCAAAAACATTATTACAAAAACTCAACTGAAGTGACTAAAACGACATGTATACTTTTTGTGTCTGATTCATATGTTATTGTTTAAAGGTACAATATGTAACTTTTCTGAAGGTGAATTTGTCATTCAGGAGATGTTATTGTTTTGCCTGAAATGTTAAGCATGAATGTCTTGCATTGGTCGTTTTACAGATATTTTTGGCTAATAATACCTAGATAAACATGATGCATTCAAGCAGGTGGTGGACCGACCGTCAGAAAGCTTACATATGGAAAAAATTGCAAAGGAGTCGTAACTATTTTGAATTATATGATGTCAAATGTTTAGTAACACAACTCTTCTGTCTGTTGTAGGCCAGCTGTGATGCTGTCAAATCCTACATAGATGAGACATTGGGTCCATATCTGGTAAATGTAACCTCAGCTGCAGCCCTGTGCAGCAAGGCGCTCTGCTCGTCCAAGGGCAGGTGTCAGAGGCGCAGCCCCAGCTCTGGGACCTACCTCCACCTGGACCCCTCTGCCTGGAAGATACGGTCCCACAAAAAGCCCACAGGAGGGGGGAGGAACTACAGTGTCCTGGGACAGCTCAGGCAGCAAGACAAAGCACTAATGGAGGCAAAGTTTACATGTAACTGTTACCCCGGCTGGACTGGGGACAATTGCTCCAAACATGTGTAGAAAAAGTGTTTTTACATTAGAGACACTTACAAAAGGAAAACAGCACATTGAATGAAGTTTTAAACTAATTTTTTAATTATTTTTTTTTTTAAACAGTGTTTTTAATGTATGTTTACAGTGTTAGTGATTACAATGGCGACAGTAGCTCAGTTGGTCTGATCTGAAGGTTGGTGGTTCAAATCCCACTCTTTACATAACATCACTGGTTAGCTGTGAGATCCACTGGCCCACAGGTTGGTCCTTGACTCATTTCAGCCCAGTTGTGAATGAATGAAGAGGTATATGGTTCCATGATGTGAAGTGCTCTGAGTGCCTTGAAGGTGGGAAAAGCGCCATATAAAATGTGGCCACTGACCATTTACAATGAGCCAAAACCATAATGAATGTTACATATTTTATTAACTTGAGATTTTAGCTGTGTTCCTAATCACAACATCAACCTTTGGACTAAACTGGGATGAAATCTGGAACTAAACCAGGACAAAACCAGAAACTAAACCAGGAACAAACCACAGGTGTGAACCAAAATAGGCTATAGATAACTTGTAGTGAAGCACATAGTCATTTCAAAGTTTTCTTATGCAGAATAAGTCTAACCAGATCATCCTTAATAATTAATTTAAGTTTCGGAATGATATGATATGCTATGCTATGTGTACAACAGTATTGGTGGAGACTGTCAGATTTACTTTTTTCATTTTCAGTTCATCAGCCAGAATAAGATAAATTTGCATATATTT